CTATCTATCTATCTATCTATCTATCTATCTATCTATCTATCTATCTACCTATCTATGTCACCCAAAACTGTAAAGACTGCAACAAAAAGTTTCTACATAAGCTGACATAGGCCAAAAAATAAATAAATCCTAAGAACACAAAAATTCCAAAAAACATAAGGGTGCTTTAATTGGGATTCCTGCATTAACTAAATGCCCTAAATGTTGCCTTTCTGTTCTGTGATATTATGGTTCAACAAAGACAACATTTTCCTTAAGAAACAGACTGGGTGGCACAATTAAGAGCAATCTTTGAAAGCTAGCTAGCTAGATGGGTAACAGATGGATGGATAATATATACCTTCCCACAGCTCAGGTTTGAAATCATTTTGCCTGCTTTGTTTATGGAGATTCTCAGTCATCCAGGTCATAGTTGTCCCAAAGGTACTTTTTTCAAGAGGCAACTGGACTTTCTGGTTTTTCTTTGAAGACCTTTCGCTTCTCATCCAAGAAGCTTCTTCAGCTTTTGCCTGTTTTCCATTCCTTCAAGAGGAGCTAGGGCTTCAGCTCCCAGCATTCCCAGGTAGCATGACTAACAGAGAATTCTGCAGTTATAATCCCAACACATCTAGAGGACATTGATCTGTAAAGTTTTTCAACTATAAGAATATATTTTATCTTGCTGAATCAAATGTCTCAATTCAACTTCATTCGCAATTTGCTTTTTTTTCATCTAGAATCCAGTTTTATAATTAAATCAAGTCTGCAGTCCAAGACCAAAATAATTTAATCACTTTACATTCTGCAAGCTGATTATAGGCTCCATAAAGCAGAACCTATTATATAACAGTTCTAAAATTTTAAAGTCTTCTAACTGTTTTTGGTGACTCCACTTATCAGGTTATGAAACAGCAGAGGGGAAATCAAAGCTGGTTCATTTCTAGTGTGACTTATAATTATATATCATTTATCTTCCAGCTTTGCTATTCTATTGTTGTTTTCAGCTAGCACCTACATTTCCTTGATTGCCATCTGAATTCCTCTCCATACCAGTCCATTAAGAAGCATTAATAGTGGGCCAATCAGATGGTTCTTAGGCAGTAAAATTGACTGCCCTTGGTTAAATAATTCTTTGTACCGGACTGAAGGAGTAGCCAATTTAAGGCAATATTGAATCAACCCTACATTGGATTACTGAATTAACCATATAATATACTGGATTGTGCAACACCACAAACCTAACCATGATGAATACTAAGCAAGTTTATTGTGTTCTGCAAATTGAGCCAATAATTCTTTCACCGACTTGGTTATGTATGTTGTACGGACACATCTCTCTCTCTTCAGCAACTTTCATCGTCTGCTCCTTTATCCAACCCATCTATCAGTCATCTAATTCTTCTATCCCTCTACCAATACCATTCACAGCCTATTGGTTGTCTATTTCTCCTACTTCCTTTCCCATTGTATTCACTGCAGATAGAATAGTACACCATGACTGTAATTTTAATCAGTGAATCCTGGAACAGAATTTTATTTCTTTAAACGAGTTCCATTTGGATAAAATGATCTAGAAAACCAGATTTTGTAATTTTGTTTCCTACACATATGTATGCTTTCACTGGGGCTCCTTCTCTAGCATGACATTAGAAGAGCTCTTGACAGGTTAAGCCATCTCGCTGTCATGCAAATTACATGTCCAAGTTCATTTTGCTGGAAAAAGCTTCCTTGCTTGTATGGCAAGCAGGATGTCATGAATCCTGGTCTAGTGCATATTTGTGATTTGGAATGACAATGTTTTAGACAGTGCCAACCAATCTTCTTCTGGACACAATTCACTGTGTATGTGCCCGGAATGCCTACCATGCAGCAAAAAAGCCCTAAGGCATTCCTCATTTTCCTATGGCTTAGAATGTTATCAAATATTTTAGGCGGGCACAGAATTATCTTTTATGCTGTTTTAGCAATTAATTTGACATTCCCCCGATCTTTCTTTTGTCCATTTGAGACAGATTGCAAATCCCGGTGCCCTTTCTCTGTCCTGTATTATACCTCCCACATGGATGGCATTTTAGTGAATATCAATTAGTTCCCAGTGCTAAATGTATTTTTAGCTCAGCTTTGCTGCTAAGCAATGGAGAAGTGAAAAATGGCATATCTCTGAATAAGTTTAAGTATGCAGATAATCAGTAGCCCCTTTTTCTCAATTCAGCCACTCTGAATTTATCGTTAGAAACTCAGTCGTTGTGAAAGGGAAGATATCTCTCTCTCTCTCTCTCTCTCTTCTGACTTCCTTAATGCTAAACATTTTCTGAACTATTTTGGCTTGGCTTTTAGCCAACAATAGTTACACTTCTGGATTTAGACAAGAAGTAGATCGTTTTAATTCCCACAGGGAGATCCATCTGGAAGACAGCGTCTTACTGAACGATTTTAAGTATATGCAATTATTGTATACCAATAACATGATACCCCTATATCCCCGGTGAATGTTCTTTTGTTTTTAAAGGAACTTGGGCACCAGAAGTTGTCATTACAATCAACAAAACTTATTCCTTTGGAGGAGAAAGCCTTCCCAGGTGCATCAGGAGGATGTCCGCTACGCCAGCAAAACCAATTACATGTGCTCTCACCCAATTAGTTTCTAATTATGGCCTTGTAGCACATTCAACATAATTAACATGTAAATTACACAGCGTGTTTATATTCAATAACTGCTTCCCAGTGTTCCTGTCAGCAGGAGCTGCTCTGGCTTATGCGTCTGTGTAGGATGGGGCTCGGCTTTTCTTGTCTCTTCCTTTCTAATCTGGCTGACTGAATTTAATTTAATTGAAATGCCGTCAAGAGTGATCCCGTACTGTATTTTACCACCTCAAAGGTACCCGTGCTTAATGGCAACTTGTCCCTAAGGAGGGGGGGGGGACTGGGATAGAGAGGCCTCCCAGTGAAGTCCCACGCTGAGAGGCCAAAGCCATAAAAGGGAAGTGCTAGACGGAGGTAAGCTGGCCCAAGGCAGCAAAGCACAAGATGATCCCCTTTCCCTTTGGGAAGAGCACAGGAGCTGCCTGGGGGGATTAGAAACCAGGGGAGAGACACAAAAGACATTGGCAGTATGGGGAGAACAGTCAGAAAGAATTAGGCAGATAGGATCCATGCAGCTGGAGAGGATGGGACTTAATGTCCAGCTTAGTATCTGAAGGCATCGGGGAAATTGTTTTAGTCCATCTCTGGAGGTTGGGCAGGTAGTCCTCGACCTTCAACAGTTTGTTTAGTGGCCGTTCAAAGTTACATCAGCACTGAAAAAAGGGACACATGACCGTTTTTCATACTTACGACCATTGCATCATCCCCATGGTCATGTGATCAAAATTCAGGTGCATGGCTAAAGTTATGACAGTTGCAGTATCCCGGGGTCGTGTGAAGTCAGGTTCACTTTAAAAACCTTGTTATTAACTAAACACCTGCAGTGATTCACTTAACAACCATGGCAAGAAAACTCACTTGACAAATGTCTCACTTAGCAAGAGAAATGCTGGGCTCAATTGTGGACATAATTGTTTGATTCACAGATCAAACTGTGAATCGGTGAATTGGGAAGAAGTGCAAGTCTCCAAAAGAAGCCCTTTCTCTTAGAGAAAGCTGTTCTCCCCCCTTCCCATCCTACAGCAATTTGAACAATCTCTAATCTCTCTGATACATTTTTCTTTAGCATTTCCATTTCCTACGAGTTACAATCAGGGGTGGGATGCTACTGATTCTGCCCGGCTCTATAGAACTGGTAGCTCTGAAGAGCAGCAGACACCAAACTCGTTCTGTGTTTGCTGTTGCTTGGCCCACTTGCCCGCCCGCGCTTTTACCTGTCTTTTATTTCCTGTTTTTTCAACCTCAGCTGCTTTGCACGGCACCCCTGAGGTTGAAAAAGCAGGAAAAAAGAGGCTTTTCAAACGCTATGCACCGGCACACTGCGTTTTTCAGCTGTCCAGGCAGCACAGCTTGAGATTTTTTTACATGTGTGCGCAAAACATAGTCACCGAACCGATAGTAACACTAGTTGAATCCCACCCCTGGTTACAATCTGTCCTTCTTCCCTTTACTTCTTTCCACCATCACATGTTGCCTTTTTCCTGACTCCCCGCCCCCCACACCCACACTTTAACTGTACTCTGCTTTCAAAAATCAGTCTACTCCTAATCATAGAATCATATGGCTAGAAGGGGCCTCGGCCTAGTCCAACCTCTGCTCAAGGCAGGAACCTTATGCCATCCCAGTCAAATGGTCTCGTCTTGTCAAATTAGGCCTTTTCTTTCTTGGCTTCATCTCTCAAAAATATATTTTTTAAAAAGCTAGCCTATCTCTATAGGTTTTCCAACATTCTGCTTTTTCCATTAGATTTTATAATATAAGACTACCTCTTTAAAAAGTTATTTGATTTCAGAAAAAATATGTCAGGAGCTGATAAGAATTATTAGTATTCAAGGGCATAGAATGGTGTGGTAATCAAATAACTGCAATACAATATCTACA